TTATACCTATTGTCTTTTTCTACAGGTTAAATAGGAGAAATTTTATATATATATATATATATATATATATATATATATATATATATATTGATTGATTGATTTGTTTTTACGGCCTATCAAACTTTTGCAGGTTATTAAAATCCAGAAAATATTTTGAGATAAAAATATCTGGTTCACTAAAAGTAGTAATGCCTGTACAATTTGATAGGCCGTAAAAACAAATCAATATATATATATATATATATATATATATATACAGCGTTTAGCAACGATCCTGTTTCGCGAAAATTACCAACAAGGTTACGAACTGCATTGCGATGTGGAACAGGTGTATCTGAAAATTTATCAGCAAACCGCTGTCGCACCATATCTTTTTGAGCGATGTGTTCGACAAGAAATACACGTCCTTCAGTTGTCAAAACCATATTGGGGTGAAATCTGAAACATAAAATTATGATTAGAAAAGTTTACAGTAACTTTCCGGGCACCCTGTATATATATATATATATATATATATATATATATATATATATTATATTTGTTTCATTAAAAATGACAGAAAAGGTACGACAATTTAGCTTTATTCTTTTGTTCGAACAAGTGTTTTTTTTTTTAGACACAGAGTGTATAAAAGCTGTCGTCGTTGGCGGAACTCGATGCAGCAACTTAATCAAACAGGTGTTGCTATAGATGATATTCTGTGAAACTTTGTAATCATATTTTATATATTTCAGATTTCAACCCATTATGGTTTTATTCATATTCTAAACATGTTTGTTAATGAAAACAAAGTGTATATATATATATATATATATATATATATATATATATATATATATATATTAATGCACGTTTCATTAAACAATATAGACAAGTTTTGTTTATTTATTTTAAGTAAATTCCTTTCATATTGTCGAATAAGCTTTTTAGCATTATCACTGAAACACGAAAGAAAATCACTATGTTGATACATGTTTTTATTGTTAATCCTGTCTAAGATTTCGGCTTACATAAGCCATCATCAGAGATTACAAGTACATTGCAATAAATTAATAAATTATATAACAGAGATGGTAATTTTTGTTTTTGAATGGTTATGCGGACATTGCAACAATGATAGTTTGCTTTGTTTGCTTAAATACACACACACACAATATATATATATATATATATATATATATATATATATATATATATATATATAAACTTCGTTAGAAAAATGTACTAAATTGTGGGAAGGAAATATATATATATTGATGCATGTTTCATTAAATAATATAGACAAGTGTTGTCTACTTATTTTACTTAAATTTTCATAAAAAAACAACAACATAGTTTACAAATTCAAGTGCCCTTTGGGAGATTGTATCTCCAACGAATTAAATAATATTTATGTTGGTCACACCACAAACTCGCTTTCACAATGCTTGACACTACATTTGAATGAAAATCCGTGTTGAAAACACAAATTTAATTAAGCATGAAAACAATAAACAAAAACTAAAAATTCTTGAAGCTATATACATAAAACAGTTGAAGCCTAACCTGAACAAAATAAACTATGAAATCTCTACAAATATTCTTAAATGCCTATAATTGGTAACAGAAGCCATTGGTTTATACCAACAGCTTCCCATACTTAATACTTCTCGTTTTCCCTCTCGCGTGGTCATGTGTGACGTCATGAGCTGCGGTGCGATTTTCGCTTCCAGCGTCTTATATGCACAAGTTTGTCGTTGCTTGCAAATCTTCCATGTAAAAAGAAACAGACTATCATCACTGATTTGTCTTTGTATTGCTTAATATATTGTGATGGAACTGCCATCTTTGATAATGGCTTATGTAAGCCGAAAGCTTAGATAGTATTAAAAAAATATGTATCAATACTGTGATTTTCTTTCTTCGTTTAGTGATAATATTATTAAGCTTATCAGACGATATGAAAAGAATTTACATAAAATAAATAGACAACACTTCTCTATATTATTTAATGAAACATGCAGCAATGAAAATTTCTGCCGAAATACACACACACAATATATATATATATATATATATATATATATATATATATATATATATATATATATATATATTTCATTCTTCTTCCTTGCACAGGTATTGATAGGTTACATTTACGTCATTGTCTATTTTTAACCGTCGCGTTTATCTGTACCCAACTCCACCACACCTTCATTAAGTCACTTAGCCCTCTATATCTATATAACTCCCTCCTCTATTATAGACCATTTCTTATCCATTATTCTTTTTTCTTTCCTTTTTCTTTTTTCCTTCCTTTGCCTTTCAAATTTCCTGTGAAGAAACGTGGGATTTTACTCATTTTAGTAAATGTATTTGCATTGATAAGTCCAGGAAAAGCTACTTTCCCATAGACAAAATGATCATCTGTATGAGGTAAATTGTTAGTCTTTCATTAGTTGCAATTCACATACACACACACTTATTAGATTAAGCTTTGAACCGTTGTACCTTAGAAATGATTAAAGATTTCTTACTGGAACTATCCGAGGTTTTTATAACACTAGTGGACCCTACTTTAAACAATAATAATGTATTTAGCTCTAAATTGAAATGATGATCCCACTTGCTGTTTTGACCTCCTGATCCAATTTTCCTCTGCAATGTTCCTTTTTTAAAAACTTATTCACCGTTTTCTTGATGGTTCTTGAAAGGACTTTGAAGATGGAAGCCAGAGTTTGAATGTTGGTACCATTACTGGAGACCTGAATAATCTTTTTCCTCTCACCATTGCTCACTCGGGAAAAAAAGGGGCTGACACAAATCGATTTTAACTCGTTCTTTTTCTAGCTGAATAACTCAAAGGGTTTTTCAATGATTCGTGCAACAAATGGTGTGAAGATGGCTAAATGTCTTATCTGAAAATCTGTGAAAAGGAAACTCAATTAGTTTAGTAGATTTTTTTTTATATTAATCATTTTGTGGGAAGGGCAATTATCCCATGCTGCTTCACGATTTGGACAATTTTGCTATTACACCCGGTATATATATGTGTGGGGGAGGGTTCTGTGGGGGCGTCTGATGTTAAATGCAATTAAAATTACTCATAAATAAGAAGAAGCATGCCTTTTCAATACTGTTTTTTTTTAGGTAAGAAAGCCCTTCCTTATGGAAGATTTGCACGACACAATCGAGACATTTAGGGAGTCAATACATTCAGATTAGTTTCCTTTCCCGTTCGCAAAATATTTATTCCATTCGGCGGATGAAACGTGCATGCAAATGTGACAAACATTATGGGACCACGGTAATTATATAGTTCCTAGTCTCTCCTGTAGTCGTTGTTCTATTTAGCGTATGCAAATGTAATACTATTATGGGAAATAATGATAATATTATTGATAGCAAAAACAACAACAACAACAACAATAATAATAATAATAATAATAATAATAATAAGGAAAGCCACGACGAATAATTAAAGAAAATAAGAGGAAAAACCAATAAAAAGTGATAAAAATAAAAAAATTACGTTCAAAAACAAAAAGGACAGCCCGAAGCTCGAATTGAGAAACAAATTTTTGAGAATAGGAACAAGGAAAATAAAATAAATGAGAACAAAAACAAAACGAATGAAAATATAGAATAAAAAAAAAGGAAAATAAAGTGAATAAGAGGAGAAAAGAAGGAATAAGAAGATGAAGGAAAATGTGGAGAAAAGCAATTTATTTAAAACCAAAAAAAAAATAAATAGACAAGCGAAAATTACATAGCAAAATAATGGAAAGACGGAAAGAATTTAAAGACGGACGTATAAGATCTTGGTTGGAAAAAGGCGGGAAAGTGGAAACATCACGAGATGAAATGAGAAAAGATGCGTCATGAGAGATAGAAGGAATTAGTGGATGAATGAATGGATGAATGAATAAAACAAGGAAACGGAGGAAACTGAAAAAAGTAAAAAAAAAAAGGATAAAATATTGAATAAAGTTATTAAAACGAATAAAGGAATATTAAATACACATAGAGAATGAAAGAAGAATGAAAAGAAAGAAAAAGAAAGAAAGAAGGTAGGAAGGATATCGAAAGAATAGAAAATCGAAGTAAAAATATAAATGAACGAAGAACAAAATAATGAAAGAAAGAAGAGGATTAAAAAAGAAAAACTATGAAAAATGGAAAAAATATTAAGAAAAAGAAAACGGGAAGAAAAGAAGAAATAAATTAAGAATGAATGAATGAATGAATGAATGAAAGAGAAAAAATGGAAATAAATGGAAATTGTAAGAAAAGAAAAAGAATAGACAAAAAGACGTGGGGAGAAATAAATAAATAAATAAATAAATAAAGAAAGAAAGAATGAATGAATGAAAGAGAAAAGAAAGAACAAAAATATGAAAGTGAAATAGAACAAATGATAAATGAAAGAAAAAAAAGAAAAGATGAAGCGATGAGGAGGGAAAGAAAAAGAAAGTACTTCATTAATATTAAAAAAAAATCTGTAATAAAAAAACTGTAAACTAGTGAATTTCGTATAAGAAAAAGTAGGAGGGAATAAAGAATAGACAGAAAGAAAAAAAAAGTTTAAGCGGGTTTAAAAAGGTAGGGGGGAAGAAAAGGTAGACAATGAAAGAATAAGTGCGAGAGAAGAAAATCGAGTCAGGAATGAAGAAAAAATAAAGAAGAGGAAAGACCAGACGAGGTAGACAAGAAAGAAGAAAAATGTAAGGAGGAGGAAAGAATAGGAGAAAAGAAAAGGTATACAAGTGGGGGGACGACGAGGAAAGGGCAGGAAGTAATAAAGGGTAGACAGGAAATAAGAAAAGGTAGACAAGAGGTAAGACGGAGGAAAGGGTAGGAGAGAAGAAAGTGTAAACAGGAAGGAAGAAAAGGTAAGAGGGAAGAAAGGTAAACTGGAAAGTGGAAGAAAAGGTAAGGTATAGGAGTACAGAAAGGGTAGACAAAATGAAAGAAAGAGTAGGAAAAAAGAAAGAGTAGACGGGCAGGGAGAAAAGACAAGGAGGAAAAGGTAAGAGGGAAGAAAAGAGTACGTGGGAAAAAAGGGTAGACAAGAAGGAAGAGAAAGAGGAAAGAGTAGTGGGGAAAGAAAGGCTAGAGAGGAAGGAAAAAAATGTTAAAACGGTAGATAGGGTAAGAGATAAGAAAAGGTTGATAAAATAGAAGAAAGATTAAGGGATGTAGACAGAAAAGAAGAAGAAAAGGTGGTTAGTATAAAGTCTAAAACTAATGAATGGATTGAGAAAAAGAGCAAGAAACTTTAAACTAATTGCATTAAAAGAGATAAATATATATATATATATAAACAAACAAGAAAATAAATATTCAACAACATTAAAATTTACTTAGTGTCATTTATTAAGCATTAAATTACATCACTTAGCGTCTTCCATAGTTTATCATTATGCGTACATCGTTTGAATATTTTCTTAAATTTAAAAATTTTGAAAACTTATATTTTTAATTCTGATTCTAAATACATGCTTAAAAAATAAAAATCCTTATATTCATCTTGATAAAGTTCATCAAAAGACGAAACGCATTTTAAAAAAAAAAAGTATAAAAAAAAATTTCAGCGTACCCACGTCTCTCCTAAATGTGACACAATGTCAAAATTTAAAGTGGGTTTACGGGCAATTCCGTGGAAAAATTGCCCAAGACCCTTGGCACTTTTCCTTTTGGGGACGTCTCAGACACCGGGCAATAAACCTAGCCCCATCACGAAGGAGAGTTATTGCTTGGGGGGGGAAGGACCCCTAGGGCTTGGACTTAAAAATTCTGACATCCCCCGACCCCCGAAAAGGCCGACAAAATCATAATCTATGAAGATAGAGTTTTTTACATTACCAAACTGGTTAGTGAGATTAGATTTATATATATATATATATATATATATATATATATATATATATACTTTTCTTCATGTTACGTTATCTATAGATATTCATTAAAGAAAGATCAGTATGTACCAAGGCCAGAAGAAAAAGATATTTATTGAGGAACGTACACATTAAGGGTTGTATTCAACAACATGCTTCAGTGCAATCTTCAGTGCATGTGTGTTGTGTTTTGGCTCGACTATTTATATATGTTGGTCAGTGATGCATTATGGGTAGTAAAGTCTATTGTATGATCCGGAAGCTTATTGGGTGGGCGTTTCAAATTATTCTAGAGGCGATTGAGTAGAAATAATTATGGATCCACTCTATCTGATAATGATCACTTTTACCCGTAAATATATCATTCGTTAAAACTATATTCGTAACATAAATATATATATATATATATGTATGTGTGTGTGTGTGAGAGAGAGAGAGAGAGAGAGAGAGATGATAATGTATAAATTCGTTTTAATTGAATGACAAAAGCCAATACAACCTATGTAACGAGTTTTATCCTCAAAAAGTACTTTATCGGATTAAATATTGTTTTAATAATTTTTATGTAGAGGATGGGACGTACATTATATTTACGTCTCAGCTCCCTACATATATGTGATTCCATCAATAAAAATAAAAAAATATTATTTAATCTGAAGAAGTCTTTTTAAGAACGAAACGTGTTACAGTGGATTTTTCCATTTAGTCATTCAATTACCCATATTATTCAGCTAAGTGACAAATTCTATATTTGCATTAATATATATATATATATATATATATATATATATATATATATATATATATATATATATATATTGGATTGATGTGATTTTTTCAAAAACTCACATCAATCCAACTAAATATGTTAGCTCTATCACTGATATTGAGCGCTTTCCAATAAGTACCGCATATATAATACACAAATAATATATATAAAAAATTGCATATATATATATATATATATACATATATATATATATACACACACACACACACACACACACACACACACACACACACACACACACACACATATATATATATATATATATATATATATATATATATATATATATATATATATATCATACAGTGTGATCATGAAAAGTTCTCAGCTCTAACCACAACCTAAATAATGACTAAAGATGAAATAAGCCACTTGGTCAATCCGAGATCTTTTTGGCACACGTGTACGACCTTGCCCCCTCACTCTGCTTCTCTGTCTTCCTCTCTCTTTTCTCTGTGTGTGTGTGTGTGTGTGCGTATGTGAGTGTGTGTTCGTGTGTGCGTTAACAGATGCTTGGCTTACGTTTTATATATATATATAGATACATATATATATGTGTGTGTGTGTGTGTGTGTGTGTGTGTGTGTGTGTGTGTGTGTGTGTGTGTGTGTGTGTGTGTTTTGATTTGATTCGAATCTAGAAAGGCGGCAATGTATGAAAAATGCAAATGACGAAATGATGTCATTGATTGACTGGCAGAAGCAAGAAGTGGCGGGAATTAAATGGCGGGAACTGATCATGTGATTTCGTCTCCTCGCGTTGCCTCGGTGCAAGCAAACTCCGCTTTACAAGTCGCTGGGGCGTGTCTTGTGATTGCTCCTCCATCTTTTCCATGCTTTTTCTTTATTTCATTGTTATTGTGGGCCTCTGAATAAGGGTGAGTGAGTGCATCAGATTCTCTATAGGATTGTACGTGGGTTCGGTCTAGGTTTGCTTGTGTGTGTGTGTGTGTGTGTGTGTGTGTGTGTGTGTGTGTGTGTGTGTGTGTGAATTTCCTGAATAGTGTTAATGTGCATAAAAGTGCTTAAAAGTGGCAGTTTATGACTAAGCGCATTTTGCATAGTTCATATTGACTACTCCTAATAGTATATGCATTACTGCATATACATGCATACACATATTCATCTATAGCATTTCAATCGTGGAATTTTTCCTACACACACACACATCCATATATATATATATATATATATATATATATATATATATATATATATATATATATAGTTCAAGTTGTCTAAAGATCGCGAGAAAGTCGGCTTACGACTAGGAACATTCTTTCATAGGAATCGTCAAGCGTTTTTTGCTCTATTTAAGTAATCTAGGCATTAATCACTTAACTCAATAGGTAGGTGTTTGCCTTTAGACCATTTTAGAACTTCGCGTTCTGACCATGAGACCCGGGTTTGAATCTCACCATGGTCGATTTGTCAGGAAGGAGACTTTCTGATGTTATCGAACTGGATCGGTCAATCCCAGAGTGCGTCACCTTTGGAAAGTACCTGAAAACCATACTACCGGTTGACTCAAGCCATGAGAGTGAAATTGCGTAGAGGGAACCCCTTTGGGTTTGTGGTAGCACGAAGTCACAACTTATCATTACCGAGAGTTTTGGCTTGCTGGCGTTGTCCAGACTGTTGATCACGCTAGATAACGCACTTTCCCAGAAACTGTAACTAAGGTCTGCTCATATAATTGTCTGGGTAAATCATTGAATATTTCCTGTAGCTTTTGCTTATTTCCTTCCAACCTGGATGTTGAAGGCCGACCGCTTCTGTGAGTGTCTCCCACAGGTCCTGTACTCATCCCACATTTTGTAACAAGATGATTCTAGCTGAGCACAATCATGCAGTGTCAAGTGTTGTGCCATTCTAGTCTATATGTGTCACTCTGAAATACAAACAGAAATTAGCAACGAAATTCAACCACTTTAGGGATCAGAATATATTTTGTTTGATGTAAATGCCTTGATAGAATTCCTTTTGTTTACGTCCTGATATTCTTTTCGAAAACTGGAAGTTTGATATAGTCTACGGTAATATCATGTGTTACGGTTATTGGGAGCAAGACCATGCGAAAAGTATGCGATTTATTTATTTATTTATAATTTATCTATTTTCTTATTTATTTTATCTATTTGTTTATTGTATTTTTCTTATATTATTTATTTATTGCAATTTTCTTATATTAATATAATATATATGCACATCAAATATATCATATGCATTTCAAGGGACTCTCTCCTATGATAAATAATATTTTATATAATTCCGAGTTTTTGTATGATAATAGCTTCAAGTCTTTTTAATCTTTTCTTGCATTGGTTGCTGTAGAGTATTTTGCTGTCATTCACTAATATTTATCTTATATAATATTATATATCTTATGTATTATCTATATAATAAATGCGAATGTCAGTGTGACACTTTTTCAAAGGGACACAACTCTTTAACTTTCAATAGCTCATGTTACAGAAATTTTTGATTCGCAAGTTTTCATTACTACGATTATTTTCGGCGAGTTTTTAGACGATTTTTGCGACGAATTTATTTGTAAAAGAATTTTTATAACTTAGAAATAAATTTGGGAATAATCGAAATTAATTGCAAAATCCAGCGAAAGTCGCCTTTGAAATAAAAGTAATTGTTTGTACGGAAAGTAAGGACCTACGTACCTCAAATTGTCTTTAAATTAAGTGGCGACAGAAGAATTATCATTGAACTTTTAAAAGGTAAGCTTAAATATTAATGCAGTACTTAAATGCAGCGATCAATTTTGAGTTTTTCTGTAGTTTACTGTTGCCTAACACTTACAGCAAAAGAGAACTCTCTGCCAACAGAGGACCAGATTGCAATCAAAAGAACCAAGGCTGCAGTGATAAAAAGAAAGTCCCGTGCAAATGAAAACCCAGATCAAATGGCAGCCGGGAGAGCTTCCAATGCTGAGAATATGCAGAGACTTAGGGTCTCTCAAATTCCTGATCAAGCCGAAGACCCAATCATGAGCCCTCCGCAGAAGCTAGAGTAAACGCCGCCTAATAGGATGGCTTTTTAACTAGTTTACTAATATTTATCTTCTATTCATAGTAGTTGCTGGCCGATATGTGCACGGATTGTACCAAATTTCGGCAGGTAACAGGTCTTGTGGTCCATGTGTGAACTTTGTTTTTAATATTGTTTTTCGATTATATATATATATATATATATATATATATATATATAACGTCATCCACAGACAGACTGTTTCGCAGCTCATCAGTGTGGCTAGACATCCGGTTGCCTCTAGCTAGGATCGAAACCCGAATTGGTGTCGGTCGGAGATTCTAACCATTAAACCGTCGGCGCACGGTAGGGATAAAGTGAATCTTTTAGCATATATATATATATATATATATATATATATATATATATATATATATATATATATATATATATATATATATATATATATATATATATATATATATATATATATATAAATATATATATATATATATATATATATATATATATATATATATTTATATTTTTTTTAGCGTATATATATATATATATATATATATATATATATATATATTTTAGCGTATATATATATATATATTTGTTGGTGGTTGTTCAATAAAGTACATACCCCCTGTTTTTTGTCTCTTTGTTAATTTTTTTGTCACGTGGTCATGGTTATTTTCGGTTTTAGCAATAATTATTGTTCCATAAGTTTCCTTTTCAGCAGGTTTTAACCTGAAAATCCGTTTAAATTGAAACCTAGGTAGGTTTGCCTGGCTCCGTATCTTAGGGTTTGGTCTACTTAGTGTATTGAGCACTTTACGTAGTTCTCTTTTTACTCGTTTTGGGTTTTTTTTTCTTTGGACCTGGAGCTTAAACACTGGCGATTGTTTTCGCCTTGTTTTAATGTTCTTGGTTCTTTCTTTTTTTTATTCCCCATTTTTCGTCGGGTAGCGATTTGTTCTATTGCAAGTCGAGCTATCCGAAGTTTTTCTAAACTAGTACCACCATTTATATATATATATATATATATATATATATATATATATATATATATATAAAATGGCAATAGAAATCTACTTATGCCGACGCGTGTCGCTTCCAGAGGTACTTTATCAAGGTACAAGTAGAAATTTTATTTAGGAACCTTTATTCACACATATAGGAGGTAACGTAGAGAACATTCTAAAATATTCGAAATTCTTTCGACGTTAAGGAAAGGAAAACTATGGAAGACGCTAAGTTGCGTTAAATTTTGACATGCTGTTTAAACGAATCTGAATTAATGTTGTTATTATTATAACTTTTTTATATCTAAAAAAGCCCTGAGTTAACCATTTTTCTTTCCTTTCATTTCATAAAAAAAAATGATGGTAGTACATAAGTATGTTGACTTTCTGTGAGAGCATTTTGAAACGCCCACCCAATAAGCTTCCGGATCATACAATAGACTTTACTACCCATAATGCATCACTGACCAACATATATAAATAGTCGAGCCAAAACACAACACAGATGCACTGAAGATTGCACTGAAGCATGTTGTTGAATACAACCCTTAATGTGTACGTTCCTCAATAAGAGCTCCTTTCTTCTGGCCTTGGTACATACTGATCTTTCTTTAATGAATATCTATAGATAACGTAACATGGCAGAAAATGTATATATATATATATGTATATATATATATATATCTTACGAAAGAAGATATTTGAAAATGTCCAGAGTGTACGTTAATGTTTGCGCTGAAACTATTAATACATTTTCAAGAACTTTTCGCATTCGTAAGTTATTTTCTTTCGTAACAATGACAAGAGTTTGGAGTGTGAAATTATTTCTTTGTTTCTTTGTTTCTACCCGGATGATAAACGATTGTGACCCTATGTCAGACTAAATAAATTTGGTTTGTTATTTATCGGTTCCTGCTGTTAGTGAGTTCGATCTTCACTGCGGACTTTCACACTATGCAAAACTTAGGAAAGTATTTACTTGAAGATTTAAGAAAAATATCTTTTCTCCTTTCTTTTATTTCTCTTTGCAAATTTGTATGACTTTCTCCTTTTTTTTATCTCATTATATACACCCCTCTCCTCTCCTTTCGCTCCTCCCACTATCTCTCCATGTTTTCTCCCTTCTCACTTCTCTTTCTCCTTAGTCTCTCTCATCGCTTCTTTGAAATTTTTCTCACCGGAATCGATCCTTCAAATATACAAATCAACCATTCGCCCTTGCATGGAGTATTGCTGCCATATATAGTCTGGGGCACCTTCTGTTTACCTCGGAGTTCTTGACAAGATCCAGAGACGGATATGTAATATAATTGGCCCTGATCTGGCATCTCGTCTACAGTCACTCTCTCACAGACGCGCTCTCTCTGTCTTTTCTACAAATACTTTCATGGTAATTGCTCTGATGAGCTGCTTTCACTGGTTCCCAGACTCCATGAATTCAAGCGCCCTACGAGGCTAGCATCCCGCTCCCACCCTTACACTGTAGAAACTTTTAAATGTAGCCGTCTCTTCTACTCCACTAGCTTCATACCTCGTACCTCTAGCCTATGGAACACCCTTCCCGATTATTGTTTCACTGAGAGCTATGATCTCCAACTATTCAAATGTAATGTCAATCGACATCTCCAGTTGCCTTGATCTACCCACTATCCTTCTCCTCATCCTTCTATCACTGCTATCTGCTCTCGCTCCAAATCTTCTGCAACCCCCTGCATCCTAGTGGCTTCATGCTTAAAAAAAGAAAAAGATTTCTCTCTCTCCTCCATGTTAGTCTATTTTTGTTTCTCCCCTCTATCTTCATTTTTCAGTCCTCTCTCCTTCT